GTACTTTATGACTGAAAGAAATTTCAGCGATGAACTCTTCAATCCTTTCTCTACAACAAGCACATATTTTTTTTACGCGTACGTGTCATGAGTGAAACTGCTTGACTCTATAAATGAATGGAAGGGTCACATTCGTTTCTAGAAAGAATAAGTAAATCCCAGTGGGCAGGCGAGATAATTTCCTCCAAGTAATTTAAGTACTTATCAAACACACATTAAATCAAAATGAAAGAAAAAAACATAAGTTAAATCTTATGAAAATATTATACACACACATGCTAATCTAAGTATCAGGAAATTTCCCCATGAAAGACTTACCCTAAAATTTATTTTTCATAATATTTTCGAAGCAGTTTTCTCAGACATGGAAAAGAACGGTTATGTCTGGGGTGTTCACTTTTGTAATAATACCTTTGGAAAAGGCATGAACCTATTTCTTCCACACCCTGCTATGGATTAAATAATAAGATAGCCTCTATAGCCTTGACTGACAACCTGTATAAGACAACGACATTTATTAATTACAAAATAAGGCAACTATCTTTTCCAAGAAATCCTGGTAATTAACAAATAATGAAGAAAACGAATCTGTGGGGCGCTATAGTTGCCTCCGTACTGTAGAACTAGGTATGACGATAAATTACATCCGGCAGCAAGGAAGATTCGGAAGATCGGAGATTTTGAGGCGAATAGAACCGCCATTTAATTGTTGTTCCCAGGTACATCCATAACCCGGAGTGATAGCACCGGTTAGGGTCTCAGCTATGGAGAAATAATGACATCCCCACCCACCCCCAAAAAGCTATGAAAGTATAAAAAATACATTTTCATAGTAAAAGTACCAGCAATACATTTTTCTATTAAAACATTACCAACAATATAGTAAAATTACCAAAAATACATATAGATGAAGGCATAAAATTGTGTTCAAAATATTTAGATTTCCGCATTAAATAATCCATAGAGGTGTTGATATGACGCTAAACAAACTGAAACGAAACAAACAACCAACGTCTTGAAGGAAAATGATATTTATTTAGATTGAAACGCCCATAGGGAAATTCAGGTTATGAAGATTGTGTTGCACCAATAATCCACATCCACAGAACTTGTCTGCTTAAAAAAAAAAAAAATCAAGATTCAAATACTGCTTTTTACTTCAAACATCGATCACTGATCCCGGGTACTAATAAACATTGACTATTGACCCCTGGTGGCAAGAAACATCGACTATTGACCCCTGGTGGCAAGAAACATCGACTATTGACCCCTGGTGGCAAGAAACATCGACTATTGACACCTGGTGACAGACGCTATCGACTATTGACCGCTAGTGACAATAAACATCGACTATTGACCCCTGGGGGCAACAAACATCGACTATTGACCCCTGGGGACAACAAACATCGACTGTTGACCTTGTTGGCAACAAATATCGACGAATGGCAATTTTTTTTTATCGAGTGACAAACATTGTTTCGTAGTTTCGGTAAAATTTCTATATTTTTCTTCTTCAGGGTTGTATATTTGCTTATTTTGAAAAAAGTTATCGTTATTCATCAGTAGGTAAAAGTGAAGGGTTCTAATGTCGATTTTCAAGGAAGGTTAGCCGTCTATAATTATATGACGGTTCGAACACACAAACATTTTCTTTCGATTTCAATTTGTCACGGAAATAAGATTAATTCATCTACAGGGTGATTGAAAAGTAACTCCCTATTTTATTTATGATGGACTCTCCCGTCTAACTATAATTTTTACAAGACGGGAGAGTCCATCATACACAAAATAGGGAGTTACTTTTCAATTATCCTGTAGATATATGTTTGCTGGTAGTCATCAACCCTCATAGGAACTGGCAACCCTTTTTTCATGTGGAACAGATAGGCAAGGCTTTTTGCTTTTAACCTGCGACCCAACATATGTATAAAACTAGAATAACACACTATTTTTAAGCATTTATTTTAAAACATTAAATTATTTTCTAATTTTAAATAAACAAACTCTAATACAAATTTTTAGCAGAAGTGCTAAAAATAAAGCTTAGAAAAAATAATAAAATTCAGTTTTTTTGGTGGGGGATTTCTTTGGGTTTATTTATAGCTTATCAACCCTTTGTGGGCTATTTGAAACCGAAACACTGTCCGATGTAAATATGTGACCCTGAAATCCTAACGCGCACTGGAATAGTAAAAGATGCCTCCCAAAAGCTAAACAAAATATTAAGAAACGGGAAAATATATTTATTAATATTAAAAGAGAATAAATCGAATATGATCTGGAGACTATTAAAATATCATGGTGGGTAGGGTTTGGTCCGTATACCATAGTTTACCAACCCCTGCTGTAGAGCCTGCATCGCTCTTTTAAAAACACGTGGACTTATATAAATTCCAAAGCAGATTTATATATGCAGAGCTGGTGCAAGGGTCTAGTGGGCCCTCAACAAATCTATGATACGTTCCTCGAATCTATGATATGGGACTCCCACTCTACTACATCTCAATTTTCGTAAGGGAGTATTCATATAAAATACAAACTTCATTGTAATCTGATTATGTACAATAATGGATCAGATGCAATATAGGCGAACAATTCAACTAGAAAAAATGAAAATAAATACAATGTATCTAAATACAAACTAGAAACATGCCATAATAGATCATTCCATCGTAAATAATTAAAGACATGTCAAAATAGATCATTCAATCTTAAATAATTAAAGACATGTCATAATAGATCATTCCATCTTAAATAATTAAAGACATGTCATAATAGATCATTTCATCTTAAATAATTAAAGACATGTCATAATAGATCATTCCATCTTAAATAATTAAAGACATGTCATAATAGATCATTCAATCTTAAATAATTAAAAACATGTCATAATAGATCATTTAATCTTAAATAATTAAAGACATGTCATAATAGATCATTCAATCTTAAATAATTAAAGACATGTCATAATAGATCATTCCATCTTAAATAGATCAACAGTTTTGCGACAATTTTTAACATTTACTTTTGTAATTTGAGTTTTTTCTTGTTAAAAAGTTGAATAAGTTTGACACATTCAACATTATGGATAAAAAATAGTAAATTTTTTTATAGTGATTTTTTGGAAACTTACCCTGAGTAAAACAAATTCACGTATTTGGACAAAAACAACAACAACAAAAAAAAAAACAAAACAAAAAAAAAACAAGGATTACGTCAAAATCCGCGAAAATTTTTCATTCTAATAGTCAGTTGTGCTTAGTTTAATTAGTAACGTATATAAATATAGGAAGACAAAAGCGAATGTTGAAAAGATAGCGAGGGGCAAAAAGTACATTCCGGGACTCCTTCCTAATCAGGGCATTCGGGGGTAGTACACACCTGCCCTGTAATATGTACAGTAACATGATCAAATTTAAAATCTAAATTGTTTGTGCATTTTAAACTGTACATTTATTAGAAATTATATTCAGTTTAAATACAGAAGTCATAAAAATGATTTCAAAGTGCCGCACATTCTAGCTTATACTTTTTTCCGGTTACCAAGGCTTGTTGGCAGAGAGAAAGAGAAAATTAGACCATGTAGCGCCAATTTCGATTTCAATTTAATTCAAATTCTGTCTGTATGTACGTTTGCCTGTTCACATGAGTATTTTAATTCAAATGCAGACTTAAAACTATTTCGAAAAAATAAAAATATAATTCTATTTACAAATTAACAAATAAATTCTGAAAGTTTCAATAAAATCTGATTCTTTTTTCTGAACTCTAACTTTATGATTCTATTTCTCAGCCCCGGGTAGAAGTTGTCCAGACCGTGTGGGAAGGAACGTATTATTCTAATATCCTATTGCAAACTTAGTCGAATTGTGTGTGTGCGCGCGCGCGCCTGTATATACATTCAGTGGCATGTAAGTCACATGTGCACAACACAGACACACGCATATACATTACAACATAGTTTTTTTTTCTTCTTTTAACGGCAGATCGACATCAATGGACTATTTAATGCTGATAAAAACTTTTATTGCTGTTAATTTTTTTTTCAAAAATTCATTGCTGGTAATATTTCTCTAAAACCGTATTGGTGGTAATAATGTATTGCTGGTAATAATTTTTCCTTCAAAAATTTATTGCTGGTAATAATTTTTTACAAAAAAGTGTTTCTGGTATTGAAACCTATTTTTACACTTTCACAGTATTTTGACTCCAGTTTGCGGGTTAACTATTAGCCCATAGCTGGACCCTAACAGGTGCTACCACCCCGGGTCAGGGTAGACTTAGGAATATTAGCAATTAAGAGGTGGTTCCATGCTCCTCAAAACTTCCCGATGAGTGGCCTTGCTGCCGTACGTCGTTTATTGTCTTACCCAGGATGCGGATGCAGCCTATCGTCTTACCCAGGACGCTTACAACATAGGCGCATATACATTACAACGTAGACACATACAATGATACACGCGTGACGGACAGACAGTCAGCTTTTCTTTTGTAATATAGATTTCCTAAGGTTACTTTAGTTCGGGAACAATGGCACAAATGTGGGTCACCCAGTGAGAATCTAAATCACTCTACAGTAAATATTTATTTTCCGAAAGAGATAAAATAATGTATCGCAACAGACTTTTCATTGTGGGAACTTAAAAAAAAACAAATATGTGTGCGAGTCAATGCAAATATTACTGCTCCTGATCTTACATGGTTAATGCAACGGGGAGGTGCTGCTTAGAAACGAATCTCCAGTAACTTCTAACTGATTGAATGAACAGAGATTTAGCAGAATAGCTCATTACCGATTAGTCCGTAGCGAGGCAAAGAATTATAATTTTAGTTCTCGACGAAAAAAGAGAAAAAATGATTTAAAAAAAAAAAAAAAAAAAAAAAGAAATAAGAAAAAAGAAATAAGAAAAAAGAAATAAGAAAAGTCACTTCGCTATCGAAGAAAAAAAAATATTTGCTAAAATATTTGAATCTTTTTCTCTCCCACCATTGAAGCTGAGATGCATTTCCCCCGCGTTATTTCTCGTGCTTTTAGTGGAACTAAAAAGAACCACCGGAGCCATCACTCTTTGCTTTGTCACCTGATAACATTGTACCCTCAGAGAGAAACTTTAAGTGACGCTCTGATGACATTGTGGATTCAGTTTAAAAAAAAAAAAACGAGGAAAGTCGACCAGAGTTAGAATAAGGTAAGGGTGGGGCTAGACTAAATGAAGGAGTGGGACGAGTTTGGGTTAGGAAAAGGCAGAGAGCAGGTCGCGATGTGGACTTGTCCCGCTATTAAGAGACCCTATTGCTGAGAGAAAGATCTTCGAGGCGTGTGACGATGGAGGGAAAGGAAGGCAGAAAAAAAATTGAATGAGGAGAGAGAGGGGAGAGAGAGAGAGAGAGAGAAAGAGAATGAGAGAGAAATGATTAAATTAACACACGAACTCATTAAGCGTAACTCAATATTTGAGAAGTGAAAGAGAAGGTGTTAGTCAAAAAACAACAACAAAAAAAAACCCAACAAAAAACAAAAAAAAGTGTGACCGATCATAGGCTGGGTTGAAGGTCACATGACGAACAGTCCCTCACCCCACATTTTGTCTAGAGTGAGTGCTCTCTTGTTAGAAGAATAAAACATGCTCATTTCCCAATGCAGAGACATTGGTTAACCAGTAACAAATCAGATTTCTGATGTTGACAGTTACCTTTAACTGGCATCAGTTGAAACTGAAATCTTCCCTCCACCCATCTCTGTGGGCGATCATGACTCTCCACAACTTCCTATTCTTTTTAGCTCTAAAGGAAAATAAGCCATCTATTTTACACGAATGTCTTAAATTTGTATGTTAGGAATGACAGTGAAAGGAATCCTGAAAAAAAGTAAGTTTATGACACTGGAATGGAATTCGGTTTGGATAAAAGTGCTGTAGGGAGACCACAGTTGTTTTCCCTTGGGTTGAGCTCATGGGAGTTCGGCCCCTTTAGAGAGGAGAACTCTTCTGTCCCTTTAGTTTTTGCTACCATTTTTTTTTTTAGGAATGGCCTCTTTACCTTCCTGAACACCAGGGTGTCCACACACGTGGAAAACTGGTCAACATGTGCACTGCCTAGCGAAAGAAAAAAGTAATTTCTATTCACTTATCAGGGGACGATCAAAGTCCATAAAGTTGTTATGTTATTTCTTTGTTCTCGTTCTATAAACCTCCTCGTTTCTTTGAGACAATATGAACAATCATTTGTTTTGGAACATATGTAAATCTTTTTTAATATATATATGTAAGTTGTTTGCCTTATTAAATGTTTTGTTTGTTACTGTCGCGTATCTCGACTTTCTATATTCGCATTCAGTGTTAGTGTATCAATGGCTACGCTAATGCTAATATTAGTATCGGTCTGCTTCCTAACACTAAATAGCCGGTAAATGATGGCTGGCTGATAAATAATACTAATAGTGCTAAAGCCACATTTTTACGAAGATCACTACAACAAACGTCCTCTATAAGCTTAGGCCCTGCGGTAACAATCAAAAATTTAGAGCAAGGAAAAGCTTGGTCTAAATGAGGGTGAAGGAAAAAAAAGGAAGGAAATAGTTCGAAAAGAGTTCTATAGAAGGGTGCGACTAATATTAAGAACTGAACTGAATTCTCAGAACAAAATTATGGCCATTAATAGCAGTGCCATCCCATGGTTTCAATATAGTTTCAAAATCTTGAACTGAACTCGAAATGATATCAGACGAATGGATTCTAAGACAAAAAAGCTTCTTTCTAAGCATAACGTCCATCATCCAAAGGCTGATGTAGACTCAGTAAAAAAGGTGGAAAAGGTCTTATGCAACTATTGATTTACTGACATACACGGAGACAACAAAGGACTGGACAATTACTCAAACAACACGAAAACAGAAAGAAAAAAATATTCAATCATGAAAGAAGGTTGTAAATACAAACGAAATTTACATTTAGTGGATTCTGTAGAAAACGAAAAACAACCATTTCTGACCTTAGGTCTTTGGTCGGGACCTGGAAAGAAATGAGCTTACACCAGAAACTAAAGGAAATAAAATAATAATAATAATAATAATAATAATAATAATAAGTATGGTGATGATGATGATGATGATGATAATAAAAATGTGACGTCAATAATTCCTATTGTGATTGTGACTCTGGTTTTGATTGGAAAAGGTTCTGATAGGTTCATTGAAGGGATTTCTGGTAGCCCATGCCTTAAAGAAATAAAAAAAAACTGGTCTTTGAAGTACATCTCACACCTTACAAATATTCTATGCAAAATGTGAGTGGTCTTACGTCATATATTTTATTTTACAAAAATGTTCAATGGAAAATTTCATGTTGCTATTTATTTTATCTCTGGCTGGGAAACAGGAAGAAAATGAGTATACAGCAGAAATGGAAGGAAATAATAATAATAATAATAATAATACAAGACAACAACTATTGATTTACTAACATACATGGAAACAACAAAGGATTGGGTGATACAAATAATCAAGCTACACGAAAATATTCAATCATTAAAGAAGGTTGTAAATACAAACGCGATTTATATTTACTAGATTCTGTAGAAAATCACAATAGAACCCAATAACCAACTGTTGCAGCAAAAACTATGATAAAGAAAGCCAAGGCTAAAGCTCTTAAACAAATGAAACAATGCTGACAAGATCATGGCCAACATCTAGAACGTACTAATAAAGCCGATGTTGATAAAGTAATACTCATCGCTGGTTACGAGCATCTGGATTAAAGACTGAAAAGGAATGTTTTCTTCTTGCAACGTTTTTTTCACAAGAAACTTTCAGACAAATATCATACATAATAGTGTGAATCCAAAATGCAGGTTCTGTGACAAATATCAGAAAACTACCGATTATTTAATTTCACGATGTCCTGTACTTGCGCCAAATGAATAAAAATAAAATAAAGTTCGTTCCTGTAGAGTGGGACAATACTTACACTGGTCAATTTGGAAACGCTTTGGAAAAGATGTTAATAAACACTGGAAAAGGTCTTATTCAACGAGAATTGTCGTACAACACAGCAACTATTGATTTACTAACATACATGGAAACAACAAAGGACTGGAAGATACAATTAATCAAACAACATGAAAATACTCAGTCATGAAAGAAGGTTGTAAATCCAAATTATCCATTAATCCATACATGTGGTAAGTTATTCGCTTTTACACTCTTCCCACCTCCCACTTCACTTCAATATATACCCTATTTATCATTGTGCCCTTTTCAAGTCCTCTTTCCTTATAATATATCCCATAAATTTCAACTTTCTCTTTCTGATTTTAAATATGTGTCCTTCGAGTTACCATTTTTTTTACAACTTTCTTATTTCATTCTATGATATTCTAAGCATGTGTTTATAAAATCACATCTCTGTCGCTTCCAGCTTCTTTCCGTAAAGAAATTGCTCAGCATTAACTTCTATTGAAGGGGATAGATATGATATAAAAGTTCTGCCTCATTTCCTTTAGTTTCTAATCAAATGTTCTTGTCTTAATACTTTGCCTATTTTCTGGAAGGCATCTTTCGTTATTTGGGCGTTACATTTCCGTCACCCATGACTACACTATACAGATAGTTTTTCTTTTTCATAATTGAATTGAGTAAAAAAAAAAAAGCTTCGTGTTTTGTTTATCTGAAGTCATTCTTACGAACTACCATTGATGCTATATATAATTTTTCTTTTCGTTTTTCTCTATTTCTTCTTATTTCTATTATAAAACAAAAGCAATATAAAATATTCCTAACGCCCAACACATTTTCCATAACTTTTAACAGTGGAAAAAAAAAATGTGGGTAATCATGGTTTTACATATAATTTTCTATGGATGATGAGATAAACATCGAAATATAAAAACAATATAAAAAAAATAGAAGTAAATATAAATTTCAGACGCGGATAAGTACATATTCAGCATTTAGTAAATTGAAGAAAAAACGAAGTTGTAAATCAACCATGTACTTTTTCTTTGGGTTGAGTGGTGAGCTGTGTGAAATTATGAGGAGATAAATTATCGAAGCTATCAAGAAATTGCAGTCATCCATGCCAGCACAAAAGCAAAGTCCCTTCATGTATTCGTGGGTTGCTTTGTAACTTTTGATAATAATAATAATAAAAAAAAATTATATTATTTTTAGCCCCACCCATTCTCATCTTTGCGTAAATATTCAATCTCTGACACTTAAGCAGCGGAGGAGGGTTGGGCGAGAAAGAAAGGGATCCGAGTAGAAAATCCCAAGTTTTTTTTTTTTTTTAAAAAAAAAAAAAAAAAAAAAAACAAAACCAACTCCGTTAAATTACTAGCAATTTTCGCAAAGAAGAAAGACTTGCGTTTCGCAAGAATCAAGACAAAAACTACTGTACTACGGTAGAGGATTATTGAATCAAGGAGGAAAGAAGGCGTGTATGTTGTGAGGATATGTGTGATAGATAACGGTTAATTCTATTTGATTTGAAGAGGTTAAGATCACGCATGCACATACACAGATATATTTCCGTTTCTTTTGCAAGTGGCTATTACGTTACGCCCGACAGTGCGTAATAAACAAATGCAAAGAAATTATATCACCCAGTACATATTTAGACTTAACTTAGATAGCAAAGGGCCATAAGAACGAGTTAACCCTGTGGAGAGAAGTCCTGCTTTAGTTACCCTCTATCAATATAACCTGCTTCAAGGCCTGCTTCATGACAGATAAATGCGTATTTATTTTTGAAGTGTGTAGCTAGTGTTCGAGCCCAGGTAAGAATCAGAATTTCGAGTATTCACGTTCAAATGAGGTATTAGATGATTGGCGCTATAACATCTTAGCAAACAAAATACTGCTCTTATTCTAAAATAACTACAATTTTTCATACTTCGCACCCGTTTCTATCCTCTGAGAAATCTCTGCAATCGTCCCTGTCCAACTGGAAATCATTGCGACCGTCCCTGCTTAGCGGGAAATCTCTTTCTCTCTCTCTCTCTCTCTCTGCAATCGTTTCTGTCCACCAAGAAATCTTTGCGTCCGCACTTCTCTATTGAGAAACCTTTGCAACCGCCCTTCTCTATCGAGAAATCTTTGCGACCGCCCCACTCTACTGAGAAACCTTTGCGACTGCCCTTCTCTATCGAGAAACCTTTGCGGCCGCGCCTCTCTATCAAGAAACTTTTGCAACCGACCATCTCTATCGAGAAATATTTGCAACCATCCCTGTCTATCGAGAAACCTTTGCGGCCAACCCTGTCTATTGAGAAAATTTTGCGACCACCCTTGTCTATTGGGAAACCTATTACTTTTATCTATCAAGAGGTTAATATTCCTGTTTGTCCATACATTTATCTAGAAATATTCATGTCGATTTATTCGTATCTAAATCTTTCTTTGTCCTTCCTATCTCGTCTGTCTTTTACCATGGCCGAGGGACAGTAAAAATAGTAACAAGCAATACTTTAAGTATTTTAATTAGCAGTATTATAAGGTAGAATAGGACTAATAATTATCACTAAATTTCAAGTGATTAAATTACTAAATCTAATTTTAAAGTTGAAAGTTTTCTTATTTCAATATTTGTTTATTGAAATTAGTATTTTAAAAAATATTTGAGTTTATTTGGGTAAAAGTAGCACCTAATTATTTAAATTCGTATTTAACAGTAAGATAAAATCTAGTTCACCACTTTAGGATAATGATCAATAAAAGCGAAACTGAAAGATCTTTCATATCGTAAAAGCTTCAAGATTTTTGCTGTAGTAAAATGTGCTTTTTCTCAAAATGATTATCCTCTTACAGTAATATTTGAAGTAAAATATGATATATATTTTTAAAAAAGCCTGTCAAAAAAAAAAAAAAAAAAAAAGAAAAATTATAAATTAATACAGTAGTACATTAGGATAAACAGTGTGACATACATGTAAGTACGGCACTACATTTTCAGTTAAATGTCCGTCGGTCATCCACGGACCTACGTTTATTCGCCTAACAAAAGGTCAACTCTTATACCGTACTGGACTGTCTCTTTAATCCATTGCAACAATCTATTCATGCATCAAAGCTACTGGCGTCGATTCCCACCAGCATCAGCCAATCGATCTACAGACTTCATCCACTTGCAAACTCGTATAATCTTTTCATTCACGTTGCGACCGTGAAACTCGTTCTAATGACAATAGACTAATAAAACAATCAGATCAATGTGCCTCCATGTATTCATAAAATATAATGGCTGTCTTTTTTTTTTAAGGGACAGGAGCATAGAAATGATTGGTTCAGTCACCAACAGCTTACAAGATACTTTTCAAATGGTAATGTGGAACTGGTGCAAAAACTCATGCACACGACCCTAAATGTATGTCGAAAGTAGTTGCGTTTTGCTCCTAAGTGAGCGAGAATTTGTTGTTCAAATACACGTTAAAAAAAAAGAAAAGAATTTCGAATACCGATTTTAAAGGTAGAACTAATTTTAATACTATTGTCCAATACTATTTTAATACTATTGCACTATTTTTAATAATATTGTATTATTTTTAATACTATTGCATTAATACTATTGTCTAATACTATTTTAATACTATTATACTATTTTTAATACTATTGTACTATTTTTAATACTATTGTACTATTTTTAATACTATTGTATTATTTTTAATACTATTGTAATATTTTAATACTATTGTCTAATACAATTTTTATACTATTGTACTATGGCAGAGGATTATTGAATCAAGTTGTAGCAAAAGCGAAAAAGGAGGAAAGAAGGCGTGTATGTTGTGAGGATATGTGGGATAGATAACGGTTAATTCTATTAGATTTGAAGAGATTAAGATCATAGTGATCGTGGAAGCAATCCTTTTGGGAGTTTGTTCCACAGAGTAATAATTTTGGGGGAAAAAGCTGAATGGAACTTTATCCTAATCAGTAGTTCCAATTAGAATGAGTGAAGGTTATCTGGTACTTTTTTTAAATAGATTCTCCTCGTGGGATCATAAGTTAAACAAACATGCTAATGTATGTACATAGAATAAACATCTTCTAGCTGTAGTTAAAGCGAAATAGTTTTCAAGCAAATTGCAGATTTAAATGTTTTTCCTTGTTGCCCGTGCGAGGGAATTTTTTTTACCAACAATTGTAGGTAGGTAGACTGGTAGGGAGGTAGGTAAAGAGAGACTCCTGCTTGGCAAATATATTCTGACAAGGCGCCTGCCAGAAGATTTCTCGAGTCAATTCATCAAAATTGCGTCCAATAAACACAGTAAGCGTTATGTAAGGCTACGATTCACTTAGAAAAAAAAACAACCCCCCCCAAAAAAAACCCCAAAAACAAAAAAAAACAAACAAACAAAAAACAAAAAACAAAACTCAACACGATGAAATAACTGTCTATATTTCTGAGATGAGGTATTGTAATTATATACATTGCTCGGACTATTTTCCTCGTCTTTATTTCCATATTCACAACGTTTCGGTCGTTGTATGCCCCGGCCTTCTTCAGGTGATTGGAATTTCGAACTGAGCCCTTTTATCCAGTATACCAGGGTAGATTGTTCTAGTTCCACCTGCCATGCCTCTTCCGGATGTCTCAGTTATTTCCCTTTAACTCAACTCTCCAAGTTTTTGTTCATCGCTGCAGTAGCCAGGTATTGAAGTGTTTGGGTCAAGTCACTGGATTCGACCAACATTTTTATCCACTGGGCCATGTGCCCGAAATAAAGGGTTCAGTTCGAAATTCTAATCACCTGAAGAAGACAGAAGCGTTCAACGGCCTACCCAGCAATTTCCATTATTTCAAGAACCGGCTGTGTGGACCTGATATAAGTTTTAAATTTTATTTCCCATGCATAAATAGCCACTCTACTCTGGGACTGCTCAATCGGTGGCGAGACAACAGTGAGTGATCTCTTGTATTGTTGTATAACTGTCGCAATTAGGTCGAATATGGATCAAGTTCTGCTTGAAACTCGAGTAATTTAGAAATCTTTTTGGTGTGGATTCATTTAGCGAAGCCCAGATGAATCTTTTGAGCTGATGATACATAGCCAGAAATCACTTGACACCGAATCAAATTCTGGCGGAACAGCAACAGGCAGAATATTCGAAAATATGTACGGACTGAAACCAAAAGGGACTGACCACTGACAGTGAGAAAGTGAGAAGAAAATTTGAGGATTATTATTTTGAATATTTCAACTGATCATTCGACTGATCATTACAGGTTTGGCTCGGATGTCTTTGGCAAAATATGTCATCAATGTCAGTCGTTGTCCATCTACTTTATTGATAACTGCGTACTAATGATATTGGCGTTTTTCTCAGTCCGTTACACATCTATCAATGACATAAACACAGTTTGATACTTGACATTTGTCATTAAACATAAAGTAACTCTAAGAATTCCCGTATCAATTTAACATTGTGTTTGTATTATGATCAGGAAGCTTCTTCTATGACGATAAAAAAAAAATATTTATCGATTCTGACAAATGCCATGACTTGAAGACTTAATGAATACAAATCTACAAAATAGTTTTTTTTTAAATTTCTCCCTATTTTAAAGAGCAGACCAGTCAATTTCAGTAATTCCAATTAGAGTTAAGTAGTTCCAATTGGAATTCAGTAGTTCCAATTATGTTATCTGGTACTTTTTTTTAATAGATTCTCTCCGTGCGATCATAGGTTAAACAAATATGCTAATATATGTACATAATATAGACATGTAAAGTAAACTACCCGGAGTTTTGTTTATCCTTGCAGGAGCCAGGTATTGAACTCTTTGGGTCAAGTCACTGAATCTCAAACCAAAGATACTGACGACTAGAAAATTTGAGGATTTCATGGAATATCCAGAAAACATCCAGTCATTTTGAATATTTCAACTGATCATTACAGGTCTGACACGGATGTCTTTAGCAAAATATCGTATCATCAATGCCAGTCGTTATCCCTCTACCCGTTTGACAGTACAGCTGCCTCCCGGCGACCTCTGGTCTTCCCCCAAAATTAAAATCACTGTTGAAAGAAAGACGTTTTCAAATCGTAAACATGATTAAGGAGAGAGTAACGAGTGATCTGATGACGACCCTTAAAGTGATTCTGGTGTTTCTTTAATGGACGTCTCTTTCTTATAAAAACCCCTTTCTTAAATCTCGAATACAAGTCTGACAGGATAAAAATGAGAAAGGATCGTCAAAAAGTAATGACATCGGTTAGATTTAAATTCTCCGCAGATGGCAATGACAAAAATCATATTAAACAATATTTATATATCATTTTTGTTTCATTTATTCATAATTTCTTCAAGATATGGCAAATAATAAACACCATATTGTAGTTTGTTCGCGTATTTTTGTAATCATGTAAATAGAAATAAATATAATGAAATAGTAGATAAATATAATAAAAATAATCTTCTAAGTAAATTATATAATAAAATAAATAATGTTTAACATTTTTGTTGTCAGTTCTCGAGGGAAAAAACATATATCCAGTTTCATAAGTTCCGGTTTTATTAAAATTCTAAAAATAGCTTTTTAAGACAATAAAAATTGCCGAGGGAGTATGAAGCAATAGCGCCTTCAAGAGAAAAGCCATCCTTTCGAGACTTTTGTATGTTTGTTAAACTGTGCTGTAAAATCAATGAACACAGTTGCTTTGTGTCAAAACTAAACTGCGCTGAACAACTTCAAGTAATTTTGGAAGCAGCACTTCCTATATGATCACTGACATTAAGCATCAATGAACTTGTTCAGTACATAGATGGGTGACCATTCAGCAACAGTAAATACGGTACACGTGGCACGCCAAGCAATTTTCAATGGCACGCAGCCGCAAATCACGTCACGAAGTCCAAACCAATAACTAATGCAACGCAAAGATATTTAGCTGTTTCAATTATAATATATAATAAAGTATACATACTATATATTACTATATAAAATATATTTGGGCACCTCGTGGCGGTGTAATGGTTAGCAAGCTTGTCTCGTTAGAACAATTACTACTGAGTAGTGAGTTCGATTCTTACTGGGTGCCCCCTACTTTCGGCCTTGTGCCACATCTACTAAGTTACGCTTGGAAAATCACGCTGTATAAAATATATTGTAGAACAGGTATATTGATCCAGACTTGTATAAAAATACGTATGCTGTTGGCACACTGAATGATTTTAAAACCCTAAGTCGGCACATAGCAAAAGATTGCCGACCACCGCTTGAAGCAACGAGTATTCTGTGTATTAGATTAAACAAATTAAAAAAATAATTTAAGTAGAAGGTGCTTTATTAGTGAGCAGTTCTGGTTGTTGATCATTGCTAGTAAGTAGCGAGTTCAATCCACACTGAGTACCCTAGACTTGCGACATTGAAAGGAACTTGGCATGTTAAATATTTGATTAGTTAATGAGCTAGACTGGTTAACTAGTTACTGAGTTGTGAGTT